TCCGGAGCTCGGGCCGGCACCCGGCCCGGCTCCCGGGCCGGACGCGCCCGAGCCGGCGCCCGGGCGCCGGAAAATCGAGTTCCGAGGCGGCGCCGAAAAAACGCCATTCCAATACACATTTTTCTTTCGAAAATGCTGAATTTCTGCTTCCGGCGCCCGAGAGGCCGTCCGTGCCGATTCTGGAGCTCGGGCCGGCACCCGGCTCGGCTCCCGGGCCGGACGCCCGGGTCGGCGCCCGAGCCGGCGCCCGGGCGCCGGAAAATCGAGTTCCGAGGCGGCGCCGAAAAAAGGCCATTCCAATACACATTTTTCTTTCGAAAATGCTGAATTTCTGCTTCCGGCGCCCGGGAAGCCGTCCGGGCCGATTCCGGAGCTCGGGCCGGCACCCGGCCCGGCTCCCGGGCCGGACGCCCGGGTCGGCGCCCGAGCCGGCGCCCGGGCGCCGGAAAATCGAGTTCCGAGGCGGCGCCGAAAAAAGGCCATTCCAATACACATTTTTCTTTCGAAAATGCTGAATTTCTGCTTCCGGCGCCCGGGAGGCCGTCCGGGCCGATTCCGGAGCTCGGGCCGGCACCCGGCCCGGCCGGCACCCGGCCCGGCTCCCGGGCCGGACGCCCGGGCAGTTCCGATCGCGCCGAAAAGAGGCCATTCCAATACACATTTTTTTTCGAAAATGCTGAATTTCTGCTTGCGGCGCCCGGGAAGCCGTCCTGGGCCGATTCTGGAGCGGCTTTGGGCCGGACGCCCGAGCCGGCGCCCGTACGTGGTGCTTCTCTGCTTCTGGCGCCTGCGCAGCTTCCCGAGCCGCTTCTGGAACCATATCTGGGCCGGTCCAGCGATAGGTTTCTTGGATGCGCTGAACCATCCAACTTTTTGAGACTTCTGCGGCTCAGGGATAGGGAGAGAAGACATTAAATAAAGGAGGATCAAAAATCAACGTCGCTATGAACGCTTGGCTGCCACAAGCCAGTTCTACTTACTTGGACTACTACTACCGTTACCACTACTACTAGTGCTACAGCCGCAACAACAATATCATCAACTGCTGCTACTACAACTACTCATCCTTCCTCCCCCTCCTCCCCCTCCCTTCTCCTCCTCCCCCTCCCTATCTCTCTCATCTCCCCCTCCTCTTCCTCTTCCTCTCCCTCTGAGATGCGGGGCATGCGCAAGGCGATTGCGAAGGCGATGTGCCGTCCGAGCTATGGATGTTGAAGTTCCTCGGAAGAGGTGGTGGCCAAACCTTCTTGGGCGGGATATCTGGGTGAGGGAATATCGGATCCCGCATGCCAGAAAAATCCCCCATGATGGGGTGTGTTATCCAGATGGATGCATGTGTCATGTGGAAGCATGGCGCATGGGGGTAAAATGATTGTTGTTGTTGTTGTTGTTGTTGTTGTTGTTGTTGTTGTTGTTGTTGTTGTTGTCCCACCCGCGACCTACCCGCGACCCACCCCGCGACCCACCCCGCGACCCACTCCGCGACCCACTCCACGACCCACTCCGCGACCCACCCGCGACCCAACCCGCGACCCACCCGCGACCCACTCCGCGTCCCACCCGCGACCCACCCGCGACCCACCCGCGACCCACCCCGAGACCCACCCGCGACCCAACCCGCGACCCATCCACTACCCATCCGCGATCCACCCGCGACCCACCCCGCGACCCACCCGCGACCCACCCCGCGAGCCACCCTCAAGGGAGGAAAAACCACTGGACCCGACGGTTGACGTTTGCTACAACGGCCCTGGGCGTTGACTGAACAGCCCTGCCCTGTTCGATTCATTCCTTGTGTGCGTTTACTGGACGTCTTCGCTTGATGGGGTGATTATTGTGGGGTGGATTTTCTGCCCCGTACGCCCGCGACCCACCCGCGACCCACCCGCGCCCTACCCACATTGGTTTAACGAAAAAACGGTGCCTGCGGCGGGCTCGTTGTATAATTTGTGAAACTTTGGCGCCTGCGGCGGGCTTCTCCAGAGTCTCGCAAACTGCCGACGTCCCCACCGCCCCCTCACACTCATCCGCATATGCGGGGTGCTACGTACAACGAGCCCGCCGCAGGCGCCAATTTTCGTTAAGCCAATGTGGGTAGGTCGCGGGTGGGTCGCACATTTGTCGCGGGTGGGTCGCTGTTGGGTCTCGGGTGAGACTCGGGTGGGCCGCGGGCGTAGAGGGCAGAAAATCCACCCCATAATAATCACCCCGATAAGCGAAGCCGTTTAGTAAACGCACACAAGGAATGAATCGAACAGGGCAGGGCTGTTTAGTCAACGCCCAGGGCCGTTTTAGCAAACGTCAACCGTCGGGTCCAGTGGTTTTTCCTCCCTTGAGGGTGGCTCGCGGGGTGGGTCGCGGAGTGGGTCGCGGGGTGGGTCGCGGGTGGGTCGCGGATGGGTAGTGGATGGGTCGCGGGTTGGTCGCGGGTGGGTCGCGGGTGGGTCGCGGGTGGGTCGCGGGTGGGTCGCAGGGTGGGTCGCGGGTGGGTCGCGGGTTGGGTCGCGGGTTGGGTCGCGGGTGGGTCGCGGAGTGGGTCGTGGGGTGGGTCGCGGGGTGGGTCGCGGGTGGGTCGCGGGTGGGTTGCGGGTGGGACGACGACAACAAACAGCAACAACACCAGCAGCAACAACAATACCACCAACACAAACACCAACACCACCAACAACAACAACAACAACAACAACAACAACAACAACAACAACACAATCATCAACAACAACGCAACAAGTAGAGTTCTCACAACGAATTCCTTATTCAGCCACGCACCCAGGGACAATGAATAACCGTTCGGCCCCCTCACTCTGATGATCGAGGTCGGTTTTGGAAGCTGCCCTGATGTTTTTCGTGCTTGATGGACGCTCTTGTGCATCCTGGGTGAGGGCACCCTCGAATGTTCTCCAGTTTGGCTGGCGGATGTTCTCACGTTCTTGAGGGGTGTTCCCCTCGTCCTAGGTTTGGCCGTAATTGCCCCCCCCATCGCCGCTGCGGCGGGCACGTCAAGGAAGAGACCGGCCTGCCAGCGGGTGCCCCACGGAAGCTCCTCGTCACCCGATGGCCCTGGGGCTCCGCAGAGGCTGTGGGGCATCCCAAGACCTTGACAGATCCTGCAGCTAGATTTTTTCGGAAACTGGAACATATACATTACCAGTGGCGGGCTGTTTTTCAGTCCCACGATTTTTTGAGGGTCGGGGACGACGCCGGGGTGGTGTGGTGTATACTTTTTATCCGTTTTCCGAGGGAAACAGCGAAACATGTATACACCAGGGTTCCGTGTACACCAGGATCCGCTGCCCTGGCTGCAGATTTCAGTGCAGGGCCGGAAAAAGCGTCGGTGTATAGAGTTCGGTTCCATAGTTTTTTTTTTATCGTATCCACACCCATCAGGGATCTCAAGAAAGAAACGTCAACGCTCATAGACTCCAGTTAGGCCGGCGGAGGGTCTCATGTTCTCGGAGGGTTCTCTAGATTGCTTATCGTATCAGCACCCATCAGAACTCTGGAGAGAAAAAACGTCAACGTTCGTAGACTCCAGATTTGGCTTGAGAAAATCATGAATGTGGGCTGGACCCTGGGCGTTCTCTTGGAGCTGCTTTTTGCGTAGACGGTTCTCGTATGTTTGGACTTGGACTTCTCTTTCTAGGAAAACACTTGGAGTGATGCCGATTTCCTGAGACTAAATATGTTCTGACCTACTTACGCAGGACGAGACAGTGTCCTCTTGAGGTGAAAATGGCGATGATGAGTTCGACTAATAACATCGGCGCCGTCGACCGGACGGCGCCTGAACGAGCTGCATGCACCTCGTCCAGGAGGAGAGAGATGCATTCATGTTGAATGGGACCCCCGCGCGCGGAAAGCTGATGAGAGCGCACGAGACAGCACAGGACCCATCCAGGGATGTTGATGACCCAACCCCTTTCCCTTGGTTGCCACATAGCCGACACACCACATCTCACAGGCAATCCGTTGGGTCAGGAGACGTAGGGCCGAAATGCACTGGGCGTTTTGGCCTTGGACTTGTTGGTTGCCGCATAGCCGACACACCACATCTCACAGGCAGTCCGTTGAGTCAGGAGACGCAGGGCCGAAACGCACCAGGCGCTTTGGCCTTAGGACTTGTTGGTCACCACATAGCCGACACATGGCATTTCACAGGCAATCCGTTGGGTCAGGAGACGCACGGCTGAAAAACATGGGCGTTTTGGCCTTAGGACATGTTGGCTACCACATAGCCGACACACCACATCTCACAGGCAGTCCGTTGGGTCAGGAGACGCAGGGCCGAAATGTACCAGGCGTTTTGGCCTTCGGTCTTGTCGGTTACCACATAGCCGACACACCACATCTCACAGGCAGTCCGTTGAGTCAAGGGACGCAGGGCCGAAACGCATTTACGCAGGACGAGACATTTTCTCCTCTTGAGATAACGGCGATGATGAGTTCGACAGATAATATCGGCGCAGTCGACCGGGCGGCGTCTGGACGAGCTGCGTGCAGCTCGTCCAGGGCGAGAGAGGCGCATTCATGTTGAGTGGGGCCCCCGCGTGCGGAAAACTGATGAGAGCGCACGAGACAGCACAGGACCCATCCAGGGACGTTGATGACCGAACCCCCTTCCTCCGTCGAGTCTTAACACGGGCGGGCTCTGGGGTCCGCGGATCCAATTTCGTTTGGCTCCCCCCGCTTCAATACAATACTATCAAGTAATAGCGGGTAGATATCGGATCCGCTGTTAAAGGTAAGGCCGGAAGCGGATCCAGAAAATCCGAAATCGGATCCACGCGGACGGAAATCGGATCCACCGAAACAAAAAATAAAACCACAACCCGAACCGTTCGACTTTCATTGGGGCCGATGGCGTTTAATCCATACGCGTCTGCTCAAGACTTCGAACCGTCGTTCCGGGCCCAAGAGGAAAAACTTTCGTCCTGGGGATGTAAGCAGGGGCGTGGCAGCTGTATCCCGCCCCTCCCTCCTTCGCCCGACCGTGAGAGGAGCCGCGCGTACGCCGTCCGCTGGGCCGCGTTCCGCCGCGGGCGGTGCGAGGCGGAAGGCTCGCAGGGCGAGGCCTTGCGCGCCTTCCACGCCGAGCTGGCGGCGGAGGTCGTTCGGTTCCGGGAGGACCCGGGCTCCTCCTCCTCCTCCTCCTCCTCCTCCTCCTCCTCCTCCTCCTCCTCCTCCTCCTCCGCCTCGTCATCCTTTTTCTCCTCCTCCTCCTCCTCCTCCTCCTCCCTCTCATCCCTATCCTCTCTTCCTCCTCCTCCTCCTCCTCCTCCTCCGCCTCCTCGTCTTCGTTTTCCTTGTCATCCTCCTCCTCCTCCTCCGCCTCCTCCTCCTCCTCCTCCTCCTCCTCCTCCTCTCCCTCCTACGAGCTAGGAGCGATGAGCTACGAGCTGGCGCTAGGGTCGTACAGACGCCGCCCCCCCCCTCCCACCACCACTGGCCGTTGCCCTTGAGGGGGGTCCACACTTTTCTGGGCTTGTAGACCAGAAGCGATTGGCGCGACAGGGGAGGGAGAAGGGAGGGCGACAAATCGGCGACGACAAGGGTGGCGACGATCCTGGGAGGAACGACGGGGGGGAGTGGGTCGAGCGGCTACAATGGCGGTGTGAGGATGGCGGTGCGACGCGTGGCATTCGTGTGCAAGTGCGGCCGCGGCCGCACGGGGCAAGGGCCTCTCCTCTGCCCCGTCGGGCACCCCTACGGGAAGGGCCCCGGCCCCACCCGCGGAACCTTCGGCCGGCGAGGCAAGCTGCGAGCTCCAGTGGGAGACTGGAGCCGGTCCACGGTCAGCTCCCACCATGAGCAGAAAGGCACGCGGCCAATTCCTACTGTGTGCTTCGCCTCTCTGAGAGCTGATGATCGGCGGCCGCGCTCCTGGCCAGAGGGCAGAGGGACCCCTCGAACGGCCAGCAGCTTGGATGAGCGCGTTCTGCATGCTGTTCAGAGCTGACCCACGGGTGCCCACCAGGGGAGGGGGGGTTTGCGCCACCCGTGGCGGCGGCCGCGAGCTGCTGCCCTCCATCCCAGCCACCCGCCCATGCCCAGTCAGAGCCCCGGTGTAGGGCGGTAGCGGAAGAGCGGCAGAAGGGCGGCGGCTCGTCGTGGCGATCAAGCGGGGCAAGCTCTGCTGAAGTGGTGCTTGGAAGCGCTGCGTCGCGGGGCCGCCCTGGCCAACGCCAGGGGTGCGGTTTGCGGTCGGCTGCAGCGGAGGCCCGCGGGATTGCGGCAGGGTGAAAAGCAAGGCCGTGGTAGACGGCTGTGGAGAGGAAGGCTGCAGCCATGGATGCAGATCGCAGCAGCGTGGCTGGTGCGAGATGCGAAAGAGATGCAGCAGCGGCTCAGGAGGGTAGGCTGGGAGCTGCGGGTGGACTGCCCACCGCGGCCGCCCTGGCCCTTGCCAGGGCGGGCGACCGCTCGTTGCGCTTGTGCCCCCCCGACGAGATATTAGAACCCCAATGGATTTCAAATGCATCCGTTTTCGCCAGCGCTGCAGACTGACGGTGGGGGGCTCTTCGGCCAGCAAGGCGCCGACAAGAGCCACCCTTTGTTATCCAGTTGCTTGCACTGGGAACTGCACGGAGGATAGCGCCAAGGGGGGGACAAACAAAACAGCAAAGAACAAAGCAAAACACAAACAACAAACAAAAAACAACAAACAAACAAAACCAAAACAAACACAAAAGAGGAACTTGCGCATGAAAACAAAAAACAAGGAAAGCATCCCCCGAGCCGTTGCGCCAGACTGTGTAAGCGGGAAGACAGAGCGGCAACGATGGCTGCCTTGCAGGTTCGGTCGCGCGGCTGCATGAAGCCCGAACAAAAACAAAGCGGCACACGAGGCCGGTAAGCGGCGAGATCGGACACGAGGAGGAGGAGGGGAAGGAGGAGGAGGGGGAGGAGTAGGAGGAGGAGGAGGAGGAGGAGGAGGAGGAGGAGGAGGAGGAGGAGGAGGAGGAGGAGGAGGAGGAGGAGGAGGAGGAAGGGGAGAGGAGGGAGGGGAGGAGGAGGAGGAGGAGGAGGGGGAGGAGGGGGAGGAGGAGAGGAGGAGAGGGAGGAGGAGGGGAGGGAGGGGAGGAGGAGGAGGAGGAGGAGGAGAGGGGGAGGCGGGGGGAGGGGGAGGAGGAGGAGGAGGGGAGGAGGAGGGGAGGAGGAGGGGGGAGGAGGAGGAGGGGAGGAGGAGGAGGAGGAGGAGGATCTGATACGAGGAGGCCGCGGCTTCAGTTCACCCCCGCCGTGTAAAGTCCAGCGCAGGTCAAGCCTCGGCACAGCTGAAGTGTAACCGCCATACCCCCTGGGCCCTGGGTCCTGGCCTCATCGCTCTGTGTCTGTGTCGGTCGAGTGCCGTCGTGCGCCGTTCCTGGGTGGGCACTGGCCCCACCGGTTGCACGGAGGGCGCAGCTGCTTCGGCGTCGCCGGGGATCTCGGTGCGTAAGGCCTTGTCCAACTGGTCCAGGATCTCCATCTGGGGTTGCCGCTGCTATGCCTGAGCTGCTGCTTGCTGTGCGCACGTGTACTTCTCGGTGGCCTCCTCCATCGTCCTTTGGTGGATGTCGTTCCACTCCCTCCATGTGGCCTCCTTTTGCTTGTATGCGTCAGTCTCGTGCTGGTGGATTTCATTCTGTTGGCCAGAGCCGACCTCCGTCCTATGAATCATGAGTTGTGCTTGGCCTTCAGTTTGGGAGGCATTGTGTTTTTGCCTGTTCTTGGTAGGCGTTCATATCAGCAGGCGCCATCTCCCTTTGTTGTTTGTGTTGATGTGTTAGCTGTGCGACCTTGGCTCGAACGTGTCGTTAAACGTGGGTGACTCTCTCCTGGTACGGCTCCTGAGTGTTGTGGATATTAGCTTGCATGCGCCAAGTGTGCGTTGCGCAGTAGGTTTTCGGAGCTCGCCGCTGTAGTGAGAAGGGTCGCCAGTTGCTGTTGGGCTTGCTGGTCGATGATCAGCTGGGCTTCGATGGTGGCGATGTAGTTATCTACCTCCTGCATCTTGTTGTAGCACGTGTTCCTGTCGACGGCTGCGTGTTCTGATTGTTGTACGCGTTGTCGAATGATGTGTTGGTTTCGCTCTTGGAGTTCGAGTTTCTGCTCTGCTTGCTCGAGCTTTCTCTCGACGTCCTCTATGTAGACTATATGTTCTTCTTGTGGTGGTCGGTTCTTCTGGAGGTCGTCTCTGGTCCTCTCCATGTTCGCCAGCTCTTCTGGGTTATGGAGCTTCAGTGTGATCCTTTCCCAAACGTGGTCATGATGCGTTGCCATCTCGTCAGTAGTGGTCATGGCGGTTGTAAATTCTACCTTGAATTGGTTCTAGGCTCGCTCCGCCTAGCGGCTGATGTGCTTCTGCTTCGTGGCGCTCGCTGTCGCCGGCTGTTTCGACTGCGCGTGCATGTCATTGAACTTGGTGGAGTTCGGGCATTGCCTCCTCCCTGGCCGTCTCGAGCTCTTTGTTGGTCCTTTTGAGGTTGTCGAACATATCCTTGGCCTCTTTCTTGTTGTTCCTAACATCTTGGATGAGCCGCTGGCTGTCCTCGTTGAGCGTCTTGAGTAGTGCACCTGCGTCCTTCCCCTCGGTGGACTCCCCAGCCCTTGTTCGTCTTCTGGCCGCTTGCGTTGAGGGCCTCTTCGGTTGGCTTGTCCTTCATCCGCCTGGCTCTGCCTCATCATTAGCAGCCCCAGTGTCGGCGTAGGCCTCTGGCGTAGTTGATGCCGTTCTTGATGGTTTGGAGCCCCTCGATCTTGCGTTCGAGGGCTGCCGTGCAGTTTGCCACCTTTGTGTGAGCCTCGGCGTGCTCGAGGTGGTCCTCCATCTCCTGCTCGGTTCGCTCAAGTTGCTTGGCCTGTTAGGCGCTGTTGATGGTCATGGCTTTGATGAAGGCGATCCGTGTCTCTGCGTTTAAGGTCTGTAGCCCTGCGCTGCTGTTCTTCATGCTGGCGGCTGCAGCCCGTCGTTGCTCTGTGATTTTGAGCTTCTTTCGCTCCTACTTGAGCTTGGGGTCGCTGGGCGGCATTTCCTAATCGTGCCTTCTGGTGGCGTAGACATTGCGCAGGGGCATAACGTTGTTGATGATCATGGCGACGTGGTCGTTGTAGTCATGATTGACCCCTCGCTGCTTCTTCTTGACAGGGGGGATCTCCTCCTCCGGTTGGGCCTGATGTTAACCTTTGCCATACTCGTCCTCTTGTTGTCCTTCTGCGGCCTGTTGTTGTCCTCAGTGTGGTCATCGCACGGCTTGGGGAAGTTGCCCTTGCCTTTGCCGTTCGTGCCTTTCTTGTTATTTCCCACGCCCTGGTTCTAGATCGTGCCGCCCATTGGTCTTCCTTCCACCTGTCCAATCCCGCGTCAATCGCAGATGTAGTAGACCGCGCAGGTGGGCCTCTGCTCGGCGTTCGGCTCGATGTTGATCGCCACGGTGCAGCCATTGCTGGAGCTTGTGGTGGATGTCGTGGTGGTTGCTGTGCACTGTGATGTGCTTGTAATAGTTCTTGCGCTTTGTGTATGCGCAGTGGAGCTCGAGCGTCAGCACGTTCACGACGAAGCCGCCTGTACCATGCAGGGCTGCGGGATCTGGGTGTCGTTGCAGGCGTGGCCCCAAACAGGGGACGAGAGAAAAGGTGTTTGTTCTGAGAACAGTTGTTTATCGCGGGCTTGATGGGCCTGTGTGGCCGCTCTGGCCACCACCCCGACCCCCCTGCGGGGCAAATGAGGGCGAGATCAGGCGATCGCGGCTCTCCTCCTCCTCCTCCTCCTCCTCCTCCTCCTCCTCCTCCTCCTCCTCGTCTTCCTCCTTGAGCATGCTCATGCACAAGGGATGCCCGTGCACCGCTTCCTGTGGCGCTCGTGGCGACACCGGGGGAGCGAACGACGCCTCAGGCGATCTCCCGTTTCGGGGGGCAACGATAGGGGGGATAGGCATAGGGGGAGGGATGCATCGACCCCCAATCGCCCATTGATCGCCGATAGGGGCCCGATAGCCCCACCCCGCCCAGGAAGGTGCGGATTCACTATCGGGGGCCTATCGCCGATGTATCGGCGACGTATCGCCGATTCCAGGTCGATGCATCCCCCCCTATGCCTATCCCCCCCTATCGTTGCCCCTCGTCGTCGGACGGGGGAAGAGAGAGCTCCTGGGAGGACCTGGCACGCCTGGACGACGTGGCCGCGGGCGGCTGGACCCCCGAGCAGCGGCACCCGACCACGGGCGTGCTCGCCATGGCCGAGCTGCTCGAGGCGGTGCTCAAGGAGGCGCCTGGGGCGGCGCGCGCCCCCTCCTCCTCCTCCTCCTCCTCCTCCTCCTCCTCCTCCTCCTTCCTCCTCCTCCTCCTCCTCAGCCTCCGCCTCCCTCCTCCTCCTCCTCCTCCTCCTCCTCCTCCTCCTCCGCCTCCTCCTCCTCCTCCTCCTCCTCCTCCTCCTCCTGGGGGGGGGGATCACCGCCTGGCGGGCGGCCACCACCCGCCTCCCGGAAGTCGAGGCTCGAGGAGGAGCGGGCGACCGAGGATCGAGGGGGCCTGGGGCGCGTCTGGGGCGTCTTCGGGCGTCCTGGACGGCAGGGGGATGGGGGGATCGCCGTGCCTCTCTTGGGAGGGATACACACACTGTTCAGTCCTAACTCTTCGAAGGGTCTTTGATCTTCTGGGGGGCCGAGATCCTCTCATTTCTAAGTGTTCTGTCCTGGGCCTCTTCCTGGCCACTAGGGGGCCAGGAACAATTAGAAACGAGCACAATTAGAAATGAGCACGATTAGACATGAACGAAGTGTACAGTCAACCCTCATAGCAAGTACGTGCAACCTTCCCGAGGGTACCCTTGTGTCCTTGTCTCCTCGGCCCATCCTTGGCCACTTTCGTTGGCCGCGCCCCGCTCGAGAGGCTTCGAAATGGGCGCCCAAGGCTCCTGCATCCTTATCGCGCATCCTTATGATACGGGTCGACTCTATCGGAGGCTTCCGAGAAAAGGGAGGGTGGCAGGAGGGCCTCCTCCTCCTCCTCCTCCTCTTCCAGTCCTGTTCCTTATATATAACTTCTCCCTGTCGCACCCGAGGCCAGTTTTTTGGGCGGGCCGGGCGTTTCGCCTGAGAGTTCCTCACCACTCATGACTCTGAAGCCTGAACAGTGGCAACAGCTTCACAGATGGAAGGCGGGTCGTTTTCAAAATGTGGCTCTCGCCTTAGCGCCGCGCACATTCGTTTAACAATTTGCAGGAGTTTCACGGATTGGAAGCGGGTGGGTTTCAACATGTGGCTCTCGCCTTAGCGCCGCGCGCATTCGTTTAAAACAGTTGCAAGAGTTTCACATATTCTCATGGGCGGTAGTTTCCAACATGTGGTTCTCGCCCTTGCGCCGCGCACATCATTTTATTTATGTATCTGAATTCTTTGTTTATATATACACATGAAAAAAGAAGTTTCTCGGATTGAGGGAGGGGCGTTTTAAAAATGTGGGTCTCGCTTTAGCACCGCGCACATTCGTTTAACAATTTGCCAAAGTTCACGGATTGAAGGCAGGTGGTTTTCAAAATGTGGTTCTCGCCTTAGCGACGCGCACATTCGTTAACAATTTGTTCGAGTTTCACGGATTGAAGGCGGGTGGTTTTCAACATGTTGTTCTCGCCTTAGCGCCGCGCGCATTCGTTTAAACAGATACAAGAGTTTCACGGATTGAGGGCGGGTGGTTTTCAACATGTGGTTCTCGCTTTAGCGCCGCGCACATTCATTGAAACACATCGCAAGAATTTCACGGATTGAAGGCGGATGGGTTGCAATTTGTGGTTCTCACCATAGCGCCGCGCACATTCGTTTAAAACAGTCGCAAGAGTTTCACGGATTCCCATGGTCAGCGTACTAGGAACGGTGTTTTGGAAGGACTCAGGATTGTGCGGGTGCCACAGTTCTGTTGATTCGAGGTTGTGAAGTCTCAAAAACGGCGTTCTGGCACGATTCCATATCGTCAGGGCGCAGCAGTCAGGTTGATCCGTGGCGTGGAAATCCCGAGAACAATTTTTCGGCATGCTTCAAGGTCTTCAAACGGTTGTCTTCCAACGAGGCAGTTTCCTCAATGGAAATGAACCGTTGCAGGGGCCCATGAATAGGGAGCTTGGGGGAGGGTCAATTCCAAGATCGTTGATGACTCTTGGGTTTACTCTGGTCATCTTCCTCCTCGTCCTCCTCCTCCTCCTCCTGCTCCTCCTCACCCACCGCGCAATTAACGAAGATGCCCGCCCCTGCCGATGGGCATAGGTCGGCAGACCGTCGCCGTTAGGTGGGGGGAAAATGCTGCATCGTGGCCTCCTCCTCCCCCCCCTCCCCCTCCTCCTCCTCCTCCTGCTCCTCCTCCTCCTCCTCCTTTTCCCTCTCCTCGTTCTCGTCCTCCTCCTCCTCCTCCTCTTTCTCCTCCCCCTCCTTCTCCAAGCCTCCTCCTCCTCCTCCCTCCTCCCATTCCTCCTCACCCCTCTCACTCCTCTCCTCCTCCTCCTCTCACTCCTCCTCCTCCTCCTCCTCCTCCTCGGGTGTTGCTAGAAGTGCCCCCGGCCCAGGGTGCCCCCCGAGATCTTCAGGGAGGCCCCCACGGCCTCCAGAGCCCCCCTCCCGAGGCCCACGGGGCCCCAGGGGCTCCCAAATGGAGCGCATAGCTGGGAGCACCTTGGGCCAGGGGCACCTTCAGCAAGCCCCCCCCCCCCCGGAGTAGGTCTTGGATGTCGAGCAGGTGGGGTCCGGAAGCAGAGGTCCGGAGCCAGACCCCCCTCCCCTTCCTCTTCCCCCTTCCGCCCAATGTGAAGTCGGGCACGTCTCTCTCTACAGGAGGAATCTTCAAACATTGTCAAAAAATAGGGGGGGGCGATGCTTGGACTATGTTGGGCTATGCTTGAGCGTTATTGTGTGTGTGTGACTATGTTTCAGTTCTCGTCGAAAATCCGCCGGTAGGATTGTGGAATGCGATTAATGGAGAGGAATCGTGCTGACAAATAATTTCCAGATGTCTAAAATATGTTTCAAACATGTTTCAAATATGTTACAAACATGTTTGAAACGTTTTTAGAACATCAGTTACATATGTTGAACACATGTTTAATGCAATGATCGGATTGTTAAAGTGTCCATTGTCATGGCATCCACAACTGTAGGAGGACACGCCCAACCTGAGCCCGAACAAGAAAATGCTCACAAGAGGGGTGGCGCGGGCTCGGCAGGGGCTCGCTGCGCCGTGCCGTGCAGTCCGCCCCGCACGCGCGCCGAGAGCAGAGGAGCCCCCGACCCCAATGTGAAGTCGGGCGTGTCCCTTACGTTTGTGGGGGCCCGCGCCGTTACGACACGTAGCACAACCACAACACCAAGGCATTTCAAGCCACCTTTTCGCCCCCCAAACAGTTGCTTGAAATACCTGCCGTGTTTGGCCGATCCGCGGGCTTTTGTTCATGACGATGCTTCGCGATCGGTCGTGACGAATGTGAACTGCTGTACTGCTCGAGTCCTTGGCCGCACTTTGGCAAAACAAATAAGAACTCTGCAGGAGGAGCATTCAAACATAATCCAAACATAGTACGGGGTCATTTCTCCATTCTGTTCGATTAATCTTTAGATATTTTTGACAATTTACAAATTTCGTCCAAAATCCGCCTGTAGGAGGACATGTCCGACCTAGCCACAGTAGCACGACGGAGGCGTGGCCTCGCGGAGGTCCCCGCCTTTGCATCAGGGATATGCAGTCTGGACTGTTTGGTTCGATGCATCTGCAGAAAAATGCCCCCTTTATCCCTAATGGTCTTGGCCCTCCTAACCCAGGTCCCCTCCCACAGGGTTAGGGGTTCTTTTTTGGGTTACTCACGCGCCGGCAAGGAGGAGCAACTTTCCCAGGTTACCCGCGAGAAAAGAAAGCTGTCCAAGGTTACCCTTGCATCCTTCCCCTTCAGCCCATCCTTGGCCCCTTGCGATGGCCAGACGTGGCTGTCCAAGGCCCTTGCATGCTCATCGTGCACCCTTATTCGACGTTTGGAGTGTAGGTCCTTACATTGCTTTTCTTCCAGATCCGGGCGACGGAAAAAACTCGACGGTCGGTTCGTCATCGTTTGGCTTCTGGAGGCTGGTCCTTGGTCTTCAGGCGCTTGCTTGGGGGCCCTTGCGGTGGTAGCTGGTAGCTTTGCGGTAGGAGGGATCGGAGGCTTCCGCGAGGTCTGCTTGGAGGGCCAGAGGGTTTCCGAGAAGCCCCGCCCCCCCACCCCCCATGCCTCGTTTTGCCCAGGACCCCGGCACCATGTTTTTGTTGGTCCACAACGAGGTCTCAACCCCCTCCCCCAGGATTGTTTTTCCCCAACCATCATGTGTGAGTTGGGTCCTTGCTTTGATTCAGCAGCGCGCGCGTCTCTTCTTCTTCTTCTTCTTCTTATCACAATGATTGTTGTTCTTCCTCTCCTTCCTCCACATCCTCCCCCTCCCCTCCTCCTCCTCCTCCTGCTCCTCCTCATCCTGCTCCTCCTCCTCCTCCTGCTCC